ACCCTCGGTGGAGCGCTGCCGCGCTTCCCAAGCGGCGCACTGTAGCAGTGCACCACCGGGCCGGCCCATAAGTAGGTTTCATTTTTAAGAGCAGTTTTAGGTTCGTAGCAAGATCGAGCAGAAGGTGCAGAGATCTTCTGAAAACTTTTTATCAAGAACGGGTGTTGGGTCTTGTCATATGTGTTTTCTGTACACATGCATAGCCTCCTCCATTATCAACCTCTCCCACCAGAGCAATACATTTGTTCCAGTTGGTGAACCCACGTTGACACATCATCATCACCCAGAGTCTGTGGTTTACATTAGGGTTCGCTGTTGCTGGTGTATATTCTGTGAGTTTGGGCAAATGTATAATGACATGTATCCACCGTTATAGTATCATACAGAGATATCCTTTGTGCTCCACCTATTCATCTCTCTCTCCATTTAACCCTTGGCAACCACTGATCTTTTCACTGTTTCCACAGTTTTGCCTTTTCCAGATTGTTATATAGTTGGAATCATACAGTATGTAACCTGAAAAGGTTGTCTTCTTTCATTTGATAATATGCATTTAAGGTTACTCCACGTTTTTTCGTGGCTTGATGACTCATTTCTTTTTAGCACTAATATTCCATTGGGATTGACAGAGTTTATCCATCCACCTACTGAGGGACATTTTGGTTGTTTCCAAGTTTTGGAAATTATGAATAGGGCTGCTATAAACGTGTGTGCAGGTTTTTGTGTAAGATTTCAGTTCATTTGGGTAGATACCAAGAAGCATGATTGCTGGATCATAAGGTAAGAGTAAGTTCAGGTTTGTAAGAAACTACCAAAGCTGTCTTCCAAAGAAGTGGTACCATTTTGCGTTCACATTAGCAATGAATGAGAATTTTGATGCTCCACATCTTTACCAGCATTTGGTGTTGTCAGTATTTTGGATTTTGGCCATTCTAATAGGCGTGTGGTAGTATCTCATTGTTGTTTTAGTTTGCAGTTCTCTGCTGACATGTGATTGTGGAACATCTTTTCATATGCTTACTTGCCATCCATCTATTTTGTTTGGTGAGGTGTCTGTTCCCATCTTTTGCTCATTTTTGTAATTGGATTGTTTGTTTTCTTATCATTGAGTTTTGAGAGTTCTTTGTGTATTTTGGATAACAGTCCTTTATCAGACATGTCTGTTGCAGATATTTTCTTCCAGTCTGTGGCTTGTATCTCATTCTCTTGATAGTGTCTTTCACAAAACAGAGGTTTTTAATTTTAACGAAGTCCAGCTAATCAATTTCTTCATGGAGTTTGTCTTTGGTGTTGTATTTAAAAAGTCATTTCCATACCCAGGGTCACCTAGGTTTTTCCTGTGTTATCTTCTTCTAGGAGTTTAATAGTTTTGCATTTTATGTTTAGGTCTATGATACATTTTGAGTTAGTTATCGTGAAAGGTATAAGGTTTGTGTCTAGATTCATTTTTATTTTGCATGTATTCATTTATTCTAGCACCATTGGTGGAAAACACTATATTTTCTCCATTGTATTGCCTTTCCTCTTTTGTCAAAGATCAGTTGTCTGTGTTTATTTGGGTCTATTTCTGGGTTCTTTATTCTGTTCCATTGATCTGTTTGTTTTTTCTCTTGCCAGCACCACACTGTCTTGATTACTGTAGCTTTATAGTGAGTCTTGAATTTGGGGTAGTGTCAATCCTCTGACTTTGTTCCTTTCCTTCAATATGGTGTTGGCTATTTTGGGTCTTTTGCTTCTTCATATAAACTTTAGGATCAGTTTGTTGATATCTACAAAATAGCTTGCTGGGATTTTGATTGGGATTGCATTGAATCTGCAGATCAAGTTGTGAAGAACTTACATCTTGACAGTATTGAGTCTTCCTATTCGTGAACGTGGAATATCTCCCTATTTATTTAGTCCTTTGATTTCTTTCTCAGAGTTTTGTAGTTTTCCTCATATAGAGCTTGTACATATTTTGTTATATTTATACCTAAGTATGTCATTCTTTTGGGTGCTGGTGTAAATGATATTGTGTTTTTAATTTCAAATTCCATGTATTCGTTGCTGTTATATAGGAAAGTGGTCGACTTTTGTATATTAACTTTGTATTCTGCAACCTTGCTGAAGTTGTTCCAGGAGTTTTTTTTGTTGATTCTTTCAGATTTTCTGCATAGACAATTATGTCATCTACGAACAAAGACAGTTTTATTTCTTCCTTGCTAATCTATATACCTTTTATCTCCGTTTGCTGTCTTATTGCATTAGCTAGGACTTTCAATGTGATGTTGAAACGGAGAGTGATAGGGGACATCCTTGCCTTGTTCCTGAACTTAGCAGGAAATGTTTGCATTTTTCACTATTAAGTATGATGTTAGCTGTAGGACTTTTGTAGATATTCTTTATCAAGTTGAGGAAGTACCCCCTCTCTTCCTAGCTTGCCAAGAGTTTTTTAAAAATCATGAATGGGTGTTGGATTTTATCAAGTGCTTTTTCTGCATCTCTTGATATGATCATGTGATTTTTTTCTTTTTTTCTTTTTGCCTGTTGGTTTGATGGATTACATTAGTTGATTTTTGAATGTTGACTCAGCCTTGCATACCTGGGATAAATTCCACTTGGTCATGGTGTATAATTCTTTCTATACATTGTTGGATTTGATTTGCTAATATTTTATTGAGGATTTTTGCATTTATGTTCATGAGATATTGGTTCATAGTTTTCTTATAATGTCTTTGGTTTGGGCATTAGGGTGGTGCTGGCTTCATGGAATGAGTTATTAGGAAGTATTCAGGCTTTTTGTATCTTCCAAGAGACTTTAGATAATTGGTTATAACTTCTTAAATGTTTGGTAGAATTCACCAGTGTTCTCTTCTGGCCCTGATGCTTTCTGTTTTCAAAGGCTAATTATTAATTCCATTTCTTTAAAGATATTGCCTATTTCTTGTGTAGTTTTGGCAGATTGTGTTATTCATGGAATTGGTCCATTTTGTCTAGGTTGCCAAATTTGTGCACATAGCATTGTTCACTAAAATTTATCCTTTTAGTGTCCATATGATTTGTGGTAATATCCTCTTTTTCATTTCTGATATTAGTAATTTGTATCTTCTCTCTTTTTTTTTCTTAGCCTACCTAGAGGTTTATCAAGTTTATCAATCTTTTCAAAGAATCAGCTTTTGGTTTTACTGATTTTTTTTTTCCTCTGTTGATTTCCTGTTTTCAATTTCATTGATTTCTTTTTTTTTTTTTTTCCTTTTTGTCTTTTGTCGTGACCGGCAACGGATCGCAACCCTCAGTGTCGCGCCCGTACCGGACCGGGACCGGCAACGGGATCGCAACCCTCGGTGTTGCCCCCGCACCTCGCTCAGCCAGTGAGCGGCCGGTCCGTATGTGGGATCCGAACCCTCGGCGGGAGCGCCGCCGTGCTCCCAAGTGCAGCACTGTAGCAGTGCACCACCGGGCCGGCCCCCAATTTCATTGATTTCTGATCAAGATTTTTTTTTTAATTCCATTTTTGTATTAACTTTGGATTTTATTTTCCATTCCTTTTCTGGTTTCCTAAATTGAAAATTTAGATTATTGATTTAAAATCTTTTTTCTTTTATAATAAATGCATTCAGTGCTATAAAACTTCCCTTTGAATACTGCTTTTGGTGCATCCCACAAATTTTAATGTCATATTTTCATTTTCACTCAGTTCAAAATATTTTTAATTTCTCATGATGTTTCTTTGGACCATATGTTATCTAGAAGTATCTTGTTTAACCTCTAAGAATTTGGGGATTTTCCAGCCATATTTCTGTTACCGATTTCTCGTTTAATTTCATTGTGGTCTGATAGCAGGCACTGTATGATTTCTGTTCTTTTAAATTTGTTAATATGTGTTTTATTGCCCAGAATGTTGTCTGTCTTGGTGAATGTTCCATATGAGCTTGAGAAGAATGTATATTCTGCTGATGTTGGGTGAAGTAGTTGATAGCTTTCAACTAAGTCCACTTGATTGATGGTGCATTGAGGTCCACGTCCTTCCTGATTTTCCACCTGCCGAATCATTTATCATGTATGGATGTTGAAGTCTCTAACTATGATAGTGCATTCTGTTTCTTTTTGTGGTTCTGTCAGTTTGCTTCACATATTCTGATGCTCTGTTGTGAGGCATGTACACATTAAGGGTTGTTATGTCTTTTTGGAAAATTGACTCCTTTATTATGTAATATCCTTCTTTATTCTTGATAATTTTCCTTGCTCTGAAATCTGTTTTGCCTAAAATTAATATAGCCAGTCCTGCTTTTTTGGGTTAGTGTTAGCATGGTATACTTTCCTTATCCCTCTGCTTTAGTCTGTATGTGTCTTTATATTTAAAGTGGGTTTCTCATATATAACATATAGTTGGGCTGTGTTTGATCCACTGATCACGTCTGTCTTTTAATTGGTGTATTTAGACCATTTATGTTTAAAGTGATTATTGAGGTATTGGATTAATACTCACATCTACCATATTTGTAACTGTATTCTATTCTTTGCCCTTGTTCTGTGTTTCTCTGTGTCTTCCACTCTTTTTTTCTGCTTTTTGTATAGTTTTAAATTGAGGATTTTATATGATTCCATTTACTCTTTCTTAACATATCAGGTACACTTCTTTTTTTAATTTTGGTAGTGGTTGCCCTAGAGTTTGCAGCGTACATTTAAAACTATGGAACATTTTATGAATTTGGGTATGATCCTTGCTCAAGAGCCATGCCAATCTTCTCTGTATTGTTCTAATTTTAGTATATGTGCTGCCAAAGTGAGCACTTAAGTGCTTTAATTTTATCCTGAAGGAGGCCTAGTTCTCCTTTAGTTGGATATAGACAGTGTCAGCAGCAGACACTGACCTGAGTATGAGCAAGTTCTCTGAGTGCTGAGTGGCAGCTTGAGCGCCTCAGGACTGAGAAAGTCCTCACGGTTTTTATTGCGCACTGGTGTCTGCTGCACCCTTGCTGCAGAGTCAGGTTTAGGCCCCATGCCTGGCCCCACAGTTGTATTGCCACAGGTTTTAAGGATTTTTGTTTGTATTCCCAGATGTCACTTCTCCTTCATTTTCAGTATACCGTTTCCTCTCTGGAGATGGACAGCATATACAAGTCCCTTCTAATGTAGAAAAAAGTGGCATGGTCACAGTTCTTAGGCTAACCCTGTACTGTTCTTTCTCCTTTTTGTGATTTTAAACAGATGTGATGTTTACTGGTACAGCAGATGGACGGGTTGTAAAACTTGAAAATGGTGAAGTAGAGACCATCGCCCGGTTTGGCTCAGGCCCGTGCAGTAAGTTGGCAACAGTCCCCATACCATGTGTCAGAAAGGTGCCAGATTGCTGTATGGAACTGCTTTTTACTGGAAGTCAGTTTTGCCCTGGGAGAAAAAGAACCCCTGGCCATGGCAGGCAGATTGTGAGGTGGTATTGTTATGATCTCTTCATTAGAGCTGTGGGCTGTGAACCTCATGGTGCCTGGTGGTCACCCTGCACTCACAGTTGCCCATCTGGGCAGTGGCTGCAGCCCCTGCTTGACACTTCATGGCACACCCCTCACCATTCATTCCACTTGGGTCTGTGTTCACTTTTGTACTAACTTCAGGGATTCGTGGGTGTGGTCACAAGTGGCTTTTTCTTTACTTGGATGCTTAAATATAGTTCCTATGTTAGTTTCTCACGAATTTTGGCAGCATCATTCAAAGCGAAAATACCCTTAAGTCACTCAGATTTTGGAAAACCAGAATAGAAAAAAATCTCACTGTTTAAAAACTGGTAGTTCAGAGACTTCTTATTAGTTATCATTTTTTAATAGCTGGAATATTTTTATAAAAATCATACATTTTCACTGTAAAATGCAAACATCACAAAGATAAAAAGGAGAAAGTGAAGATCACCCGAGTCTTGTCAGGTGTAACCATTGTTAACATTTTAGTGAATAACTTTTCAAATGTTTTTGTGTTCATAGATACCCACACCCACACAGTTTTATATGATGGTTCTTTAATCTGCCTTTTTTTATTCCATTTTGGCAGTAAGTACCCTGCATTGAGCACCTTGTGGTAAACACCTTGCAGTGAGCACCTGTAGTGAGCACCCTGTGGTGAACGCCCTGCAGTGAGCACCCCCAGTAAGCAATAAGCCCCTATAATGAGCACTCCCTGCAGTGAGCAACCCCACAGTGAGCACCTGCAGTAATCCCCTATAGTGAACACCCCACAGTGAACACCTGAAGGGGCCATTCTAGATCTAATGCATGGTCTTTTTTTGTGCTGTGAAGAGGGATGGATGAGATACTTAGACACTGAGGAGGGCACAGGTAGAATTTTGGACCAGCTACCTATTCCTATCCTTTTGTTTTCCTAGAAACCCCAGATGACGAGCCAGCTTGTGGGAGACCCCTGGGCATCCGGGCAGGGCCCAATGGGACTCTTTTTGTGGCTGATGCATACAAAGGGCTATTTGAAGTAAATCCTTGGAAACGTATGTGATGATATCTTATTTCCTTCTCTGATGATTTTGGATCTTTTAAACAATATGAGCATAAGTAGATTTAATAGGATTTGTTAAAGATGGTCTGCTGGACACTCTCTAGTGTTTTCTTATTCATTGAGTAGTGCTGAAAGCATTGCCTACAAATATCATCTAGTTTTAAATTCAGAAAAGTTCCTACCATGACTGCATTTGGTCCATGCTCTGATTTTCTTGGGCATTTGTATTTTAGCCACAGGGTCTCAAAAGGACTCATTTCAAGGACGTTAGAACCCCTCTTTCTGTCCTTATGTTTCTGTGTCTCTCTTTACATGGTGCCTATTTTCTGTTTCTCTCTCAGGCTTCTCTTTGTTGCCTTCTCCCTATCTCTGTATTTTTTCCAGTTCCTTCTCCCTCTCTCCCTGATGGGTCATGCTGTCACCTTGACCAGTGCTGTAATGGTTGCTGCACATGCTTTTCTGGTGGGGATATGTGCTGTGTGGGAGTCTGTCATCATGGGCACTGTGGGGGGCCTGAACTTGGGCACTGCAGACTGCCCGCCCAGGGGGCCCTATCTCTACTGCTTGCAGGCTGTGCAGCTGTACGAATTACTCGGCTCTCTATAGGGATAATAGTAGTACCTGCCTCATGGGATTGTTATGAAGGTTTAAATGAGGTTATACGTGGACAGAGCTCAGCACTCAATAAATGTCCTCTTATTTTTAAAAACTTACAACTGCTACTTCTTTATTTGAAAGCAGATAAGTAGAACATTTTATATTGCTCTTTAAGCAAACAAATAGAACTAGTGCCTTTTATATAACACTCTTAATAGATTTCTTTGACGTCAGTTGACTTCAATAAAATGGAGTTCCTAATCCTTACAGAAAAGATTCTACCTTTAATGAAGTTAGTCTTCAAAAAATTCATCCACTAACGGCTAATACACTTATTTACTGTAAGAAGGAATAAATCTTCTGACATGATATAAGAAGCTCGTTTTAGTTTTTTCCTTTTAAATTGGTTAGGCCAATTAATATTTTGAAATTTTTGGAATCAGGTTCTTAGAATGAAAGCAAGTCTTTTTCCATCTTTTTCTAACTTCAGGTGAAGTGAAACTGCTGCTGTCTTCCGAGATGCCCATTGAGGGGAAGAAAATGTCCTTTGTGAATGATCTTACAGTCACTCGGGATGGAAGGAAAATTTATTTCACAGACTCTAGCAGCAAATGGCAACGACGAGATTTCCTGCTTCTGGTTATGGAGGGCACAGATGACGGGCGGTAAATGTTTATTTCAGGTCTTTCCCTCAGTTAACCAGCCAGGTAGCGGGACTTCAGCAGAGCTTATGACTTCTAGGAACCATGGGAGCTTTTTTGTGTGTAAAAGTTCTGCTTCCAGTGTAGGACCTGATGGCTTCTGGGAACAGGTGACGGATGTAACAAAATGGAGCAAGTTGTTTTTACTCTCTTTTGATGAAATTAAACGGGCCAGTTCTTCTGAGGGTGTTGTTCCAGGCTGTCTGGGTTTCAGGTCACCCCTCTGAAGGGGACTCCTGTGAGGCTGGAGCATATGCCTCCTCTCCCCAATTTGGTCATCACAAGAACTGAGCGGGGGGTTCTCTGGAAGAGGATGCCATGGGTCTGCTCGGATGCGGAAGGGCCTCCGGGGCCTGGCCACTCCAGTGTGAGGCTCAGTCACCTTCCACAGGCCCGAGCCCAGGCCCTGAAGGTCCAGAAGGGGGAGCAAAGCTCCAAGCCCAGGGGGAGGCCATGGGATCCCCCCGTGTGACCCTCTGCTTTGGCATTGCACAGCCTGTTGGAGTACGATACCATGACCAAGGAGGTAAAAGTTTTATTGGACCAGTTGCGGTTCCCTAATGGAGTACAGCTTTCTCCTGCAGAAGACTTTGTCCTGGTGGCTGAAACAACCATGGCGAGGATACGAAGGTGCGTGTGGTGCCAGCCAAGCTGTCAGCTGTTCGCCAGAGCTTGTCATGGGCTGAGATGGATATGGAAATGTGATTGACAAAAATCTAAGATGCTGTAGGGCACTTTCTGCTGTGTCATGATATGATAAGAGTAGAATTCAAGGGTGTGTTTTGTTTCTCCCATTTCTCAGCATACTTGAGAGTCCCAGGGAGAGTGTCTTGATTTAACGCTGACTGCGCAGGCAGAGCCCCATTTCTCTGCCAGGTGGGCCTTGGTCTCAACCCCAACCCCCAGCTTCTTCTCTGTTCAAGCTTGTCCAGGGCTCCCAAGGGTTCCTTCTCAGCAGCTGTGCTTTTGTTCATGATGGACACATTTATAGTAGTTTCCTTAAATATATTTGGGTCAAGACCAATTTGGTGATTGGCTAACATTTTTTTTTCCTTAATTGGGGGTGGGGTGGGGGAGGTTACTGCTCATTGCCTGTTTGGGTGGATTTTTCAGAGTCTATGTGTCTGGCCTGATGAATGGAGGGGCTGATCTGTTTGTGGAGAATATGCCTGGATTTCCAGACAACATCCGCCCCAGCAGCTCCGGAGGGTACTGGGTTGGAATGTCAACCATTCGCCCTAACCCTGGGTTTTCCATGTTGGATTTCTTATCCGAGAGACCTTTTATCAAAAGAATGATCTTTAAGGTAACTATAAAAAACTATAATATCAAAAAACAGAATGAAAGTAAATCTTCTTTTTTTTTGGATTTCTTATCCGAGAGACCTTTTATCAAAAGAATGATCTTTAAGGTAACTATAAAAAATTATAATATCAAAAAACAGAATGAAAGTAAATCTTCTTTTTTTATTAAATTTTAAAATTTATTTTTAACATATTCATTCCTACAAATTGTGATATTTCTTTATGCCCTTTACCCACCTATCACTTCCCAAACCCCTTCCTCCCTCCCCACCATTTCTAGTATCCTTAGGTTTGTTCTTTCTTTCCGAAGGTTCAATGTATTGTTGTGGGCTTTCTTTCTTTCCTTCATTCCTTCTTTCTTCCCTCCCCACTTCCCTCCCTCCGTCCCTTCCTCCCTCCCTTCCTTCCTTCTTTCCTTCTTTCCTTCCTGGTTGCCAGTTATGAGTGAGAACATGTGGTATTCCTGTTTCTTTGTCTGGCTTATTTCACTTCACATAATTTTCTCCCTAGTCATCCATGTCGTTGCAAGTGGCAGAATTTCATTCTTTTTTATGGCTGAGTAGTATTCCATTGTGTATACATACCACATTTTTTTTTATCCAGTCATCTGTTGATGGACACTTAGGTTGGTTTCATAATTTGGCTGTTGTAAATAGAGCTGCAATGAGCATGGGAGTGCAAGTATTCCTTTGACATGATGATTTCCATTCCTTTGGGTATATACCCAGTAGTGGGATTGCTGGATCATATGGTAGCTCTATCTGTAGTTGTTTGAGAAACCTCCATACTATTTTCCATAATGGCCATGCTATACAGTCCCATCAACAGTGTAGGAGGGTTCTCCTTTGCTCACATCCTTGCCAGCATTTGTTATTCTTGGTCTTTTTAATAATGGCCAGTCTAACTGGGATGAGATGTTATCTGAATGTGGTTTTGATTTGCATTTCCCTGATAATTAGTGATGCTGAGCATTTTTTCATGTATCTGTTGGCCATTTGTATGTCTTCCTTTGAAAAATGTCTATTCTTCTTTGCCCATTTTTTAATTGGATTATTTGTTTTCTTACTGTATAGTTGTATATTCTGGATATTAATCCCTTGTCAGATGTATAGTTTGCAAATATTTTCTCCCATTCTGTAGGTTGTCTTTCTGCTCTTTTGATTGTTTCCTTTGCTGTGCAGAAGGTTTTTAGTTTGATATAATTCCATTTTTTTTTCTTTTGTTGTATGTGCTTTTGGGGTTTTATTCATAAAGTCATTGCCCAGTACTATTACCTGGAGTGTTTCCCCTATGTTTTCTTTTAGTAATTTTATGGTTTTGGGTCTTATATTTAAGTCTTTAATCCATTTTGAGTTGATTTTGGTATATGGTTGAGAGGTACAGTACAGATTCATACTTCTACACATGGATGTCCAATTTTTCCGGCACCATTTATTTAAGAGGCAGTCTTTTCTCCAATGCATGTGCTTTTGTCAAAGATCAGCTGGCTGTAAGTATGTGGGTTGATTCCTGGGTTTTCTATTATGTTCCTTGATCCAAGTGTCTGTTTTATGCCAGTACCATGCTGTTTTAGTTACAATAGCTTTGTAATATAATTTGAAGTTAGTTAGTGTTATGCCTCTGGCTTTATTTTTTTTGCTTAAGATTGCTTTGGCTATTTGGGGTCTTTTGTTGTTCCATATGAATGTATGGATTGTTTTTTCTATTTCTGTAAAGAATGTCATTGATATTTTGATGGGGATTGCATTGAATCTGTAGATTGCTTTGGGTAGAGCGGACATTTTCAGAATGTTAATTCTTCTCATCCAAGAACATGGTATGTCTTTCCACCTTTTGTTATTGGATTATTAAAACACTATTAATTTTGGGGTGTTGATTTTGTATCTTGCAACATTACTGAAATTGTTAATCAGCTGTAAGAGGTTTTTGGTAAAGTCTATAGATTTTTGTATATATAAGATCATGTCATCAGCAAACAAGGACAATTTGACCTCTTCCTTTCTAATCTTGTTGCTGTTTATTTCTTTCTCTTGCCTGATTGCTCTGGCTAGTACTTCCAATACTATGTTAAATGTGAGTGGTGAGAGTGGGCATCCTTGTCTTGTTCCTGTTCTTAAGGGAAAAGCTTTTCCCTATTTAGGATGATTTTGGCACTTGGTTTGCCACATAAATGACTTTTATTGTATTGAGAAAATTTCCTTCTGTACCTAATTTGCTGAGAGTCTTAATCATGAAAGGATGTTGAATTTTGTTGAATGTCTTTTCTACATCAGTTGAGATAATCATAATGTTTTTGTCCCTGGTTTTGTTGATGCATATCACATTTATTGACTTGCATATGTTGAACCAACTTTGTGTCCCTGGGATGAATCCCTCTTGATCATGGTGTATAATTTTTTTTGGTGTGTTGCTGTAATCTGATTGCTAGTATTTTGTTGAGGATTTTTGCATCTATGTTCATCAAGGATATTGGCCTGTAGTTTTCTTTTTTTGTTGTATCTTTATCTGGTTTTGGTATCAGGGTGATGCTGGCCTCATGGAATGAGTTTGGGAGAATTGTTTCTGTTTCAACTTTTCGGAAAAGTTTGATGACATGTATTAATTCTTCTTTAAATGTTTGATAGAATTCAGCTGTAAGGCCATCCGGTCCTGGGCTTTTCTTTGTTGGAAGATTTCTGACTATTGCTTCATCTCATTGCTTGTTTTTGGTCTGTTCAGGTTCTCTGTTTCTTCTTGGTTCAGTCTTGGTAGTTTGTGTATGTCCAGAAATTTATCCATTTCCTCCAGGTTTTCGTATTTGTTGGTGTACAGTTTATAATAATCTATGATTCTTCATATTTCCGTGGTATTGGTTGTAATGTCTCCCTTTTCATTTCGAATTTTGTTATTCGGATCTTCTGTCTTCTTTTTTTTGTTAACCTAGCTAATGGTATGTCTCCCTTTTCATTTCAGATTTTGTTATTCGGATCCTCTGTCTTCTTTTTTTTTTTTTTTTTTGTCTTTTGTCTTTTTCCGTGTCTGGCAACGGATCGCAACC